CAAGCTTACAGACCCCCATTTATCCCTGCTATATCCGCGGGATAAAATCTTTAACGGATAATTCTCAGTCTCTTGTTGTTTTTTAATTGAAAAAAAACACACTAACGTACATAGCATGTAATCCCATCAAGGTGTGGGAGTGGCCCAAGATTACCAGTGGCAAGACAGATTCCTCGAGTTATATTTTTTCGCAGGAAACATTGCTAATCTACCGACAATAATTATTCAACCAAGACTTAGATATTATAAATTATCTTTTGGAGGAGCAAACTAGATCACTTTTAAATCTAATTAAACCCATGTGCAGTACAAAATACCTTCATATATATAACCAAGATGGGCTTTCGGAAAGGATGAAACAACTGTTGGGGGAAAGCCTTCGCAGTTGTAGATAAGAATTTATTTCATAGAGGAAACAGGTCAATAACAAGAACACAATTAACCTTACTAAAATACAATTACCTAATTACCTAATTTCAATAATTTTCTCTAATCTGAGTAGTTTTAGCCCTTTCAAAATAGTCGGCATAAAAAAGAAGACTGCAGACGCTTTAACTATATCTTCAATATATTTTCTGATATTCACTTGATTTGTTTATTTTTCTGTTCTGAATTTCAACAAATAATAAGCATATATACAAATCAAGTCACTATGACCTTTGGATGTTGATGAATTTATGTGAATGCCTAAAAGGTGATTAACATGAGATCTAAAGACATCCCTGTTTCAACACTGGTAGAAATAATATATTTTCTCTATATTCAGTATTATCATCTTTAGAATATACAAGTGTTTAAGTTGTTTTACAAAGAAAAAAAATACATAACAATGAGCTCTGATGGTCCAGTTAATGTGCGTGTGAGCGCAAACAAGCGAAAGTATGCATATGCTGACTTTACTAAGCATCGTCTTCACGAAGGAGTAAACGAAATTTTAATTTCTGGCCTCGGATCCGCCATTGCAGATGCTGTTTCCGTCACAGAGCTTCTCAAGAACCAAGGCCTTGTGGTGGTCAAAAAAATTCATACTTCACGTGGTGGAGTTGAAGCTGCGAGAGTAAATTATGTTGACAAGATTGAAATCGTTGTTGGTAAATCTCCTAATTTTGATTCTATCTATAAGGAGCAGCAGCAGGCTCGCGAGGCTGCTGCGGCTGCAAAAAAGCAATAAACATTTTTGTAGGTATGTAT